AGAACTCCACCTTCTCTGTCACGCCTTATATCCATTCCCAAGATTCTGTAAGCCGGACCCAAGTCTTTCATGTCAAATTCACTTGACAATATCTTCTTTACTTCGTTGATATCAGCCATTTCCTTTGAAACTAGTAGCATATCGTCCACGTACAAAAGTAGGTAGATATATCTGCCTTCACCAAGCTTCTTGAAGTATACACATAAGTCAAACTCGCTCTTTGTGAATCCATGCTTCATCATACACTGATCAAAACATTTATTCCACTGCCGCGGAGCTTGCTTCAATCCATACAAGGATTTAACTAGCTTGCATACTCTATCTTCCTTCCCTGCTACTTCATATCCTTGAGGTTGATCCATGTAAATATCTTCTTCTATCTCACCATGTAGAAATGCAGTCTTCGCGTCCAACTGCTCAAGTTCAAGATCCTTATCTACCACTATAGACAACATAAGCCGGATTGACACATGTTTAACAACAGGCGAGAAAATCTCTTGATAATCAATTCCCTCCTTTTGAGAATACCCTTTTGCCACCAACCTTGATTTGTATCTTGGATCTTCTACTCCGGAAATTCCTGGTTTATATTTGTAAATCCATTTGCAGCCTATTGTTTTCTTTCCCTTAGGAAAGTCAACAAGATTCCACGTCTTGTTCTTATCCAGAGACAACATCTCATCATCCATTACTGCGCTCCATTTCTTTGAATCCTTACTTCTCATGGCTTCTTCATAAGTTCATGGTTCATCACAGTCTATCTCTTCTGATACTGACAACGCAAACGCCACTTCTGAGTCTTCTGTGAACCTTACTGGCTTCCGGATTTCTCTGCGTACTCTGTCCCTAGCAAGTTGGTAATTGCTCAAATCCACCGTGCCACCTTCAACCTGAACCTCACTCTCAGTTTCTTCTGATATAGCTCCATCTTCATCCTGACATACCTCTGTTTTCTCTGAACCTTCAGCAATCTCCAGTGAATTTCTGACAGAACCCTCTTTCACAGTAACCTCTGCAGTAACCTTTCCTTTTTCTTGAACTAGATCCTTGTACATGCGATCTTCTCTGAACACTGCATTCCTGCTGATCAACACCTTCCTTTCTTTAACCAACCACACCTTGAACCCTTTTACTCCAACTGGATAGCCTATGAACACTCCTCTTAAGGCTCTTGGCTTCAACTTCCCTTGATCCACATGAACATAGACCACAGACCCAAATCTCCTAAGATGCCTATAGCCTGGAGTCTTCCCGAGCCATAACTCTTCTGGTATGTTGAAGTCGTTTGCTGAGGAAGGAGTTCTGTTTATGATGTAAGCAGCTGTTGCAGCTGCTTCTGCCCAGAATTTTTCTTCAAGACCTGATTCACTCAAAAGACAACGCACCTTTTCCATGATAGTCCTATTCATACGCTCTGCAACTCCATTTTGTTGCGGAGTGTATGAACAGGTTCTATGCCTTTCAATACCATGAGTTTTACAGAAATTATCAAACACTATATTACAGAACTCTAAACCATTATCAGTCCTAAGACATCTAACTTTATAGTTCACCTGATTCTCTACCAAACTTTTCCATTCAGTAAACTTGCTAAAAGCTTCATCCTTAGTAGCTAGAAAATAGATCCATACTTTCCTAGTATAGTCATCTATAATTGACAAGAAATATTGCTTTCTAGATAAAGATAAATGAACATTAGGGGAGCCCCATAGGTCAGCATGAACATACCTCAACACTTCTTCAGTGTTATGCTTACCAACGTTGAAACTGGTCCTCTTGGTCTTTCCCATGACGCAGCTTTCACAGAACTCTATCTCACTTATCTTTTTATTATCTAGTATTCCTTTCTCTGCAAGTATCTTCAGGTTTCTCATGCTTGTGTGTGCGAGTCTGTTGTGCCATAAAGCAGTGTCATCCTTTGCAATCACCGCATTTGCTGATGGTTGTTGAGTGCCACCATCTAGCAAGTATAAGCTTCCACATAGAGATTCTTGAAGAGCTAATTTCCCATTTTTGTAAAACCGTGTCTTTCCTTCACCTCCTTCTTGACTAAAACCTTGCACATCAAGAGAACTCACATAAATTAGATTCCTTTTGAGATTAGGAACATACCTGACATTCGTGAGTCGGTTCACGGTTCCTCCATGAGCTTTGATAAGAATGGTGCCAACTCCTTGAACGGACACTGCTCTATCATCTGCAAGCAGAACTTGACCACCAGTGATTTCCTTGAAATCACTAAACCACTCACGCCTAGATGTCATATGATATGAACATCCAGAGTCTATAACCCAATCGTCTTTCGAATCCTGGTCAGAGATTGGTAGAGCATCTATCTCCTGGAGTTTGTCCACCATTATTGCAGCTTCACCATCCTCTCCATTCTCCATCCTTTTCTTTCTTGCAAAGCAGTCCTTCTTCACATGTCCTTCTTTCTTGCCGTACCGGCAAGTAACCTTGGTCCTTGACCTGGATCTAGACTTGTTGTTGTTGTAGTGTTTGCCTCTGAAGTTGTCTCTTTTCTCTGGTCTTCCTCGTGTGATATAGGCCTCACCAGACCTTTGAGAAGTACTTGCTTCCTTCACATCCTTCAGCTATATCTCTTTTGACTTAGCAGCGTTCGTCACATCTTCAATGGTCAGGGTTTCTCTCCCATATTTCAGTGTCTCCTTGAGCTGATTATACTGTGATGGAAGTGAGCTTAACAGCAGTATTGCTTGAACTTCCTCTGAAACAGAAACATTTACACTGCTTAACCCGGAAACTAACTTCAAGAAATCATCTATATTCTCATCTATAGACTTAGTATCTATCATCTTGAAAGTATAGAATTTATGTTGCAAATGAATTCTATTTGGTAAAGTTTTAGAATTATACAACCTTTCCAAAGCTGAACAGATAGACGCAGCTGTTGTATAATCCTCAAGTTTCCTCAACACATGATCTTCAAGATTTAGGATTATCATGTTCATCGCCTTCTTAGCTTTCTCCGACTTCTCAAGCTCGTGTTTCTTGACTCGCTCCTTGAAGTCTTCCTTATCCTCGTCTTTCTTGATTGTAATCTCAGGATCTGTTGATGTCGATGACGATTCAGTTAGAGCATCCTTCAATCCAAGAATCGATAGGTGAGCCATCATCCGTTTCTTCCACATTGTGAAATCGCCTTGGCCATCGAAGCACGGGATCTTTACTTTCGCCATTGATTCCTTCATTGAGCCGAACCTGGCTCTGATACCACTTTGTTATGAATCAATCAAATTGAGCGGTTGAATCTTGAACCTCTTCCTAACTTCGATTAGATCTAACACACTCTCAACTCGCTTTCCCTCTCTTTCACTCGTGTACACTCGTGTGTCAAAGAATAAGAACTGAAAAGAAAATACACGAGATCTTGTTTACCCAGTTCGAGTCTCGATGTGAGAATCTCTACATCTGGGGCTTGACGGCGCAAGCAACACTCCACTAGAATCAGTAACCAAGAGAATACAAAGATCGAATACCAGAAGCTTAGAATCTACGAACAACTACAAAGCTCTATCAATCTTCTTCCTCCTTATCTCTCTCTCTGATTCTATCTTGAGTAAGTTTTCTGTTACGGATGATGAGTCAACCTTCTCTCAATCTCTTATATAGACGAGACCGGTATGCGCTGAACCAACCAGAATCAATAGCCTTCCCGGTTATCTCCAATTGCTTCTCATACCATCATTAATCTTTAACCAAAACCGGTTCACGTTTAATGACCAAAATACTCTGTTGAATGTCACAGACCATAACAGGAACTGTGCTAAGGTGTGGTTTGTGGAAAACCAAAGCTGAGTCTGTGCGTGAGGAATGTTAAGCGACGAAGCACAAAGAAAAACTGTGTCAAGGGTGGTTGTGGTCGAGGATGACTAACCGCAACTCATAGCATCAATGATGGTTTGGGGTCATTGAGTGATAGTTGGGTCTATGATTTGGATGGGAGATCGGCTGAAGAACCAACTAAATGGTGGTTAGGAACATGAGGTGGATTTTGTGGAGACGAAGTCTCAGACTGGTCTATGTAAGCGGGAGTGATGTCGAGTGATGAGATGGTGTTGATAGACTGATCGGTGCAATCAAGAGGAGTTATGATGGACTGAGCATGGTGATCTATTAGTGGAATTATTAAGACTAGGTGGCGTAGTGGCCGAGTGGTGCAGGCTAGAGCGAGTAATCCTAAAGTCGATGTAGTGGACTAGCAATATTATTGATGGTGATCTGGGCTATTGAGCCGATATGATTGTTCTAACTGGTCATAACTCATAAGTAGATAGATAAGTGACTGACTTTGGAATGTTAGTGTGGCTAACCTTCTGTTTGTGTATTGGATGGTCGGATTGAAGACAAATCGTCTCTTTTTTTTACTTGGTCATATGGGGATGGTTGGTTGAGTGACTAAGGAACAAGAGAATTCAGTTAAGTATTTGATTGAAGGACGAGTAAGTAGGAAAATAGCAAGAACGGATGGATGATCAGTATCCAACCATTTCGAAGAGTAGATGTTTAAATAAGATGTCTTAGTAATCCACTAGGTTGTTAGATTAAACTAGCTAAAACAATTGAACTGAAATGAACCTCATTGAGGTATAACTGTGTTCAAATTCGAAGTAATGGAAATAATTTCAAAATAATTTAGAGTCGATAAACTCAAATTTTTCATACGGTAAGGAAAACAGGTCGGCTCCCTTCTTTTTTTTTTTTTTTTGTCGACGGCTCCCTTCACTTAGCTTGTAAGTTGCCCAAAAGTTTTAATTGTTTTACAAAGTGACCTTAAATTATTGGGCTTCATTTGTATAAGCCCAATGAACCGGGCTTCTTACCTCAATAATTATTACACGACACTGATTTGATGTTCGTGGAAATCTTTCCGACAAACAGCGAGTGAGATGACATCACCGCGCACATCAACCTTTTTCACTGCAGTTTCCTTTTACTTTTCCTCGCAACTTCCCTCCTCTCTCTCTCCTTAATCCTTATCTTCACTCATCGTGTCTCCGCATTTCTTCGAGAATTTAACGAAAATTAAGTGAACGGTGCATGACGAGCGCATCAGAACTCTTCTCTACTCGAAGATCGCGTCCGGGCAGATCCGACCCGGCTTTCGAATCCGGTTCTTCTCTGTATCGACATAACTCACATCATCCTCGCCGTCACGGAACCCATCATAACAATCACCGTCACGATTCCGACGGATGTGATTCTCTCCGACGTGTTCCGCCGCGTCTCCGACGCTTCTGTCACAATCTTGTTCTTCCGGTTAGCTTTTATCGCGAAATAGTAATCTTGTTTGTTAGTTCGAGAATTGATATTAACCCTTTAATTCTTTTGTACCTACCTAGGAACGTGGACCTACTCGTGACGTCCAAGGCACTCCACAGTATTTGGAAAGTGAAAGTAACAGTTTAGGGAACCAAGATGGATCCGAGAGGCTTCCTGGATCTGTTCTTCTTGCAAGGGCAAGACTTGTCCAAAGATTGAGAGGCGTTTCTTTGTCTACTAACAGGTCTGTTCACAATTGATTTTGCAGTTCAGTGTGATTTTAGATGTTTAATTCTAAAGATACTTTCTTTTGTCTGAACAGTCGTAGCAACATAGTTTCACCGGGAGAGAATCAGATAGAGTCGGCAGATGGGGTTTTGTTCTATGGAGAATGCAGTAAGAAGCCACAAGGTCTCACACAAGCTGCCATTAATGGTTTACGCCGGCAAACTTTTAGCTCAGCCGAGGTTAAAACCGAGAGGAGAGATTGTAGTATATGTTTAGAGAGTTTCACCAACGACGACATGCTTATATCCTTGCCGTGTACCCATAGTTTTCATTCCTTGTGCTTAAACCCTTGGCTTAAAGCTTGTGGAAATTGCCCTTGTTGCCGTAGAGCCATAGCTAAATGATATAGAAGCCTGTAAATAGAATCGTTCCTTATCCATATACACGCATCTTCCGTTCTTGCTCTAGACAGATCTTCCAGTTTTGTCGCGCTTTTGAGTGTTTATTCTGCCACATGTTGTGTGTTTGTTAACGGTTTTGTTCACCGTAATCTCTCTTCTTAATGTCTTGTTGGTTATCAAAGACTTTTTCCATATCTTGATCCGACATTTTAGTTGAGCACTTAAGTCAAAGCAAATATTAAAATGGTCTCAATCCAGAAACGTTTAAGCTCTGTTGTATCCACAAAGATGTCGTTATCATGCATTCATGTACATGTTATGAAGATGCAATCATTTTATGTAACTTTTAAAGAAAGTTAAGGAGAAAAGAGAAGACAGTTGTGCAAAAAAGTATACTTTTCTGCTATAAAAGCAGAGGCATGGACCCCTTTTCTCAATTATCATCATCTTCACTTCCTTTCATAAAATCCCATTTATGTTTCCTAACTATCACTTTCTCTCTATTGGGACCTAAACATAACTCAAATCTCTAACCACTAAAGTTAACGATACATCAAGAGTGTCTTGATTCTTTACTATCACAACAGATTCATGTCTCAACAAAACTTCAACCTAACATGATTCAAATTCAAACAAGATGTACCTGTTTAGTTCGGTTTAAAACAAAAGCACTAACAGCGAATTTTCCATTGAAATCAAATTCAAACATGTAAGCAGCAATTCTCCTTCTCTTGCTACCGCCATTTTTTGCAAATCAAAGACCAATCAAAATCCCATCACCTCCTTACTCAAAAATATTGGAGGTGACAGGAAAAAATAACAAACACAAACAAGAATCGAAATAGCACAACAGTGTAAACAAACTCCTAATAGGTGAGCAGCTAAAACAAACGAGTTAGTTAGTTTCATTTCAAGGGGTGAGTCTTGTTACCCGAATCTACCAAACTCAGACATCAATATGCCATACCGTGTCATTGCCTAACTTTCCTTTCTCCAATGCTGCAACTTTAGCTCTATGAGCTGCTGCCAACACGATCGCACTCTTCCCTTTCTCTTCTTGATCCGAGTACTCACATGCCTCGGTTAGTACAGAACTAGACCTAAGATCAGCCGGTGGGATAAAGCAGTCTACAGACAGACCAGGAACATTGAAAGCAACCTCTTCAATGGTCCATCTTTCCTCCATCTTTGTCCTAGTGTGGCTCATCGCTACTTCCCCGAATCTAAAAAGGGTAACAACAGAACGTCCAGAGTGAGCAATCATAATCCCTTCAACTTGTTTGTAATCCTCTAGAGAAGAATTGATCGTAGTCTCCCAGTAAACAGCATCACCACTGTTAGACTGGATCCGGGTCAACTGAGAATCCTCGATTTGAACCAAAAGTCCTGTTCTTTGACTGAAGTAACCGAAAAGAATGTGTCTTACAATCTCTGCTGGTCCTTCACTCCTCGCCTTTAGTGTTCCAGGGTCAGTAGACACCTTCAGAATGAAACAATCATCACCATTCACTTTCTTCTCTCCAACACACTTGGATTCAGCAAACATAGCTGCAGTAGTTCTTGGATCTAGTCCCTGATTGATTATAACATAAACATAAAGCCAACGACAGTTCATTAACAAAGCTCATGTATAGCTTTTAAGGGTTTTAACCTGAAGTGCACGACGAAGAGGCCTGACAGGTCCTTTAGCAGTGTGAGAACCAAGCCAAGGAGTGTGCCTCCAAACAAGCTTACCATTACAGCCAGCACGAACCTTACTGTTACCAACAGAGAGCTCAACATACCACATGTTCGGATTCATCTGCCAGAGAACAAAACCTCCTGTTTCAGGCTTCGTTGGGTTTCGACTACGAACAGTTCTTGTCGGAGTTTCGAGCTCTGAGGTTATCATCTTGAGCTTACCATTAGCATAAGCGTTTTTTATAGAGTTTTGTAGCTTCTGACCACCTGAAGCCGCCGTGTACTGTTGTAGAATGTACTGTGCAGATGAAGTTTCCTGCAAGAAACAAAAAAAATCATCAAAATCCTAGTTTTCTTTTTTTTAATCATCAAACCTTAAACCGGGAAATTGTTTTATTTTATTTTTGCTTAAATAAACCGGACTCGATCCAGAACTAAACCGGAAAGTAATGTGAGAGTCACTAACGATGGGAGAATCTCTGATGGAGGAAGAGACGTGAATGGGAGCGAGAGGAGCTCCCAATACCCCGAGGAGCAGCCTTAAGTCCGACCTAGTTGAAGCCACGGACGGAGCACGTGACATTTGACCTTTGACCCAGTGACCTAAACCCGACCCGAGTCGTTTCGAATCCGTTTGAGTTTCGTCGTTATCTGGATCAGGACCTTCCATCACAGGCCTTAAGCTCTCCGATCTTCCGATTAACGGCTCCGGCTGCGACGCTAGGTGATATTTTCCTCCGCCGCCGCGGCTGCAGCCGGAGCTCGCGAGTAGCTTTTTTCTTCCCCAGAGAAGAGCCTTCATGTGTGAATTCGAACGGGACGGGCTCTCGGAACGAGAACGTGGTCTGGAACGAGAAGGAGTGAAGCTTCTGACGACTTCGTCTCTGAGCGCTGAGAAAAAGCCTTGCTTCTTCTTCTCCATTTCTGTGGACTCTGATTTTAAAATCGGAAAACCCTAAAAATAAACAGAGACGCCGGGGAAAGGGAGAGAGAAAGCGGAAAGGCTTGGGGTAGAGAGAGAGGGAGAGAAAGCAGAGTGAATTTAAAAGGACTAGAGTGAGTGAAGGAGTGAGAGGTAGAGAGTAGAGAGAGAGAAGATTTTCTAGATGACGGTTACTATTTTGCCCTCAATTTGTTTAACGAATTGGGACTATTCTACGGGGGTAGGAAGAAAATGACGTTAAAAATAATAATAATAAAATGGTAAATTTTGGAGGAGTTAATTATCTGACATTTATTAAAGAGAAAAACGTGCAAGATTGAAAGAATAGTTAACATCGGAATTCAAGATAAAAAGTGTGGGGATTGCGAGTGGCGCCGTTTAGGATGGTAGACGATTTCACATTCTTTCTTTGATTTGATGCCATTTTTCCATTAGCTCTTGTAACATTTAATATCGTCAATCGTTCAGCCTTTTTTTATTTTTTTGGTAGGAACAATCGTTCAGCTTTTCAATTTAACATTTGCACCAGCAAAATATTTACATCTCTGATTTATCAAAAACAAATTCAGAAACATAATAAGTAAATAGTTATGTTATGTCGACAAAAAAAATAGTTATGTTATAATAGTTTGTAACTGCAAAAACTATTATATTCTCCAAATTTAAATAAATCATTTTCGTATAAACGTGAGATATTCATATAAGATTTTTATTATATTTCTTTGTTGATAATATTTTAATTTTTCACTGAAAATTGATGGACGAAGGTGTTTTTAAGCAAATGGATTCTGATTGGTGTAAAAGTACACTAGAGTTTTGTGTGAAATTTATATTACACTAGTATTGACTACTTGTCTTTCACGGGAATATTTTATGAATAGTTATAAGTAGATAGCTGCACATTATTTTGAAGGAATACACGAAAAAAAACATAGAATTTATAATAAAAACTTTAGATTTATGTGGTAATTTGTAGTAAAAATAAAAGTTATCATTTTATTAAAACTAACGACATGTAACATTGTTGATGTATAAATTACAGTAGATTTTTTTTCGTAAACAATTAAAAATATAAACATATACATAATGTTATTTATCATAAACCAAGAAAACATTAACTTATTTTAAAAATAACTAAGTAGAGTTTTATAATATTGTTAAAGCAATCATTTAAAATATACATAAGATATTACTAAGTTTGTGAGTTTAACAACTATATAAATATTGAAATTTAAGAACAAATATAACTAAGGTATTTTTTTTTAAAACAAAGGAATATAACTAAGGTATTGAAGCTAGTATTTGAACCTTTTTGTTTTTAGTCTCATAATAATATTGTTAAATTTGTGGTTTAGAACCATAAATAAGATTAAAATTTTACAAATAGAATATCTACCCACATTTCTGTTGACCAAAAAAAAAAAAAAATCTACACACATAGCTCAGTTTCTTATAATATTTGAAAATTTTCCCATAATTTAAGGTGAATCTTATGAGGCGTTTCTATAAGACAAAACTACTCTTTTATAATGTTTTAGATAGTATATAAGCAAGTTGGTAATCTACTTTTCTCTCTCAGAGAGTGCGATTAGAAAGAAAACAGTTACAAACTTTTTATAGTTTGAACTTCAAAGATATGAACTCAAGATTAAAAGGAAACACTTTATTTAGCTTAAGAAAATTACTCAAAACTCAAGCTCTCTCTCACAATGAATCCTTAATCTCTCAAACTCATAAGTTCATGGCACACCTCACCATCTTCTTATATAGATTCATAAAACTCTTAAACCTAGTTAACAAAAGTAATGTTTCCTTTTCTCTAATCTTTCCTAATCCTTTCTTGCTTAAAAGTCGGTTAACTTGTGGACCAAGTTAATATCAAGTTTATCTCCAACAATATCCCCTTTAAACTTGATATCAACTTGATTCACATCTTCAACTCCTACCAAGTCTCTCATCTCTTTGTATGTGATCCTTCCCAATGCTTTTGTTAGAATATCAGCCTTCTGCAACTCGTCTGCAACATGTTCCACTTCTACTTGATCATTTTCAACACACTCCCTTGTGAAATGATATCGTTTGTGTATGTGCTTGCTACGTCCATGAAATATTGGATTCTTGGTGAGTGCTATTGCAGACTTGTTGTCAATCCGAATGGTTACTTTCCTAACATCATCATCTGTGATCTCTGCAAGAAGTTCTTGAAGCCATATGGCTTGCTTAGCTACCTCTGTTGCTGCCATAAACTCTGCTTCACAGGAGGATAATGCCACCGTTGATGGGGCATTCGTTGAGATAAAAAATATGTCCAGTGGTGTTTCTTCCATCATCAAGATCTACATTATGGCTGCTGTCACTGTACCCTATGAGTTCTTCTTCATTTACCTTCTTAAAACTAAGACCGTAGGATGTAGTCCCCTTTAGGTATCGCAACACTTGCTTTAGAGCTGCAAAGTGTGATTCCTTTGGTTTGTGCATGTATCTGCTCAGAACTCCAACAGAGAAAGATAGATTCGGTCTTGTGTGTATTAAGTACCTTAGGCACCCAATGATCCTTCTGAACTCTTTCTCATCAACGTCTTTTTCTTTCTCAGCTTTAGATAAGACCAGTCCTGCATCCATAGGAATCTGAACAGCATTGCATCCTTCCATCTGAGTATCCTGTAGTATCTTCTTTGCATATCTTTCCTGCTGCAATGTAATGCCTCCTGCATATTGTATTACCTCTATTCCTAGGTAATACGTGAGCTTCCCTAGATCACTAATATCAAACTTCTTTGACATCTCAGTCTTGAAATCAACGATCAATTCTACACTTGAGCCTGTAACAAGTAAATCATCTACATAGACAGCTACTAGTATCAGATGCTTGTCCTTTCTTCTCTGGTATAGTCAAGGTTCTTTGGTACACTTCTCAAAACCTAGATCATTGAGTACTTTATTTAACTTCTCGTTCCATGCTCTAGGTGCTTGTTTTAACCCGTACAAAGCTTTGTGAAGCTTGTATACTTTTGTTTCTTGACCTTCTACTACGAATCCTTCAGGTTGAACCACATATACATCTTCCTTTAGATCTCCATTTAAGAATGTTGTTTTGACATCAAGGTGAGGTATCTCCCATCCTTTAGATGCTGCTACTGCAATGATAAATCTGATTGTTTCAATGCGTGCAACTGGAGCAAATACTTCTTCATAATCAACTCCATGCCTTTGAATATATCCTTTTGCCACTAGTATTGATTTATATTTATTTATGCTTCCATCCGAGTTCCTTTTGATTTTGAAAATCCACTTGAGACCAATGGCTTTTGCTCCTGCAGGTAGATCAACTAGTGTCTAGGTATTGTTTTTGCTGATTGATTTGATCTCTTCTTGACATGCATCCCTCCACACTTTCTCATGTATGGCATCACTGAACTCGTATGGTTCATCATTGATCATTAGCAGTAGTCGTTCTCCTTCTATTTCAGCTAAGTAGATGTAATCTTCTAAATAACTTGGCTTCTTACTCGTTCTTGTTGATTTTCTTACCACAGTAGGTTCCTCAAGAGTCACATTCTTCATTAACCTCAGTGTTTTCTGCAGTTTCTTCTTCATGAACCTCTTCTTCTTCGGTTTCATTGATCACACCATTATTTCCAAACTCTGTAAGCGGGATTGTGAATCTTCCAGGGTTATGTTCAGCATTGGTTGTTTCATCACTCCACTTCCATGCTGCTGTTTCATCAAACACAACATCTCGGCTTATCACAATTTTCTGACTTTGAGGATCAAGCAGTTTATATGCTTTGGACCCTGGTTCAGTTCCTAGATGCACAAGCATACGAGACCTATCATCAAGCTTCTTCAAGTGCTGTGATTCTGTCTTTGCATAGCTTACACAACCAAAGACTCGTATGTGTTCTATGTTTGGTTTTGTTCCCTTTAGTACCTCATATGGTGTTTGTGAACCTAAGACCCGTGTAGCTACTCGATTGATGACATATGTTGCGTGTCTTACTCCCTCACCCCAAAGATAGTTTGGTACATTCATGTGTTTGAGTAGGCTTCTAGTCATCTCAAGCAAGGTTCTGTTTCTTCGTTCTACCACTCCGTTTTGCTGTGGAGAGTAGGGAGCAGTCAAGTGTCTTTTGATGTCGTGTGTGTCACATAAGTTGTTGAATTCGTTGGATGTGAACTCTCCTCCTCTATCAGTTCTGAAGGTCTTTATTGTCTCTTTAGTTTCTTGTTCCACCATGGTTTTAAAAGCTTTGAACTTCTCCAACGCTTCACTCTTGTCTTTTAGAAGGATAGACCACATATATCTTGAATAATCATCTATAAGAACAAATATGTATCTGTTTTTTCCAGCCGTAGAAGGACTAATTGGGCCACATAAGTCTCCATGTATTAGTTCCAGTGCTTGTGTAGCTCTGAAACTCGTTGCTTGTGGGAAGAGTTGTCTGGTTTGTTTTCCAAGTAAGAACGAAGTACACGTTTCTTTTTCAACCGTAATGTTTGGTAGCCCTCTTACCATTCCTTTCTTCACCATTGCTTCCAAAGTTTTCAGACCTATGTGACCAAGTCTTGAATGCCACTTATGTGATTCACTGAGAACAATACTCTGTAGGCATTTAATACCACCGATCTCCATGCTGACTTTGTAGAGTATATTTCTTGATCTTTTAGCACTGACAATCAACTTCCCTTCTCGATCATGGAGAGTGAGAATTTCTTCTTTCATTCTGACTTCACATCCTGCTTCTGTTGCTTGTCCAAGGCTGATAATGTTGCTTCTTAGATCAGGTATGTAGTAGACATCAGATAAAATCTTTTTCTCACCGTTTTGAGTTGTAAAGAGTACTGATCCTTTGCCTTTAATGTCTATCTTTGAGTCATCTCCAAATCTCACTTTGCCTGTGATCTTCTCATCAACAGATTTAAAATACTCTAGGTTTCCAGTCATGTGATTGCTTGCCCCGTTGTCTAAATACCATATCTTATCACTGTCTGATTCTGTCTCAAACTCCTTAGGCTTCACATTCTTCTCGTTTAAGTATACAACTTCATGCATCAACATACCGTCTGCTTCTTGTGTATTGTCTTCCTTGTT